TAATGATTATAAAAACTCATCGTATACAGTTCATTGCTTCGTATAATCATCATTATTCGGGAAATTTTTTCTAAAAAAAAACAAACAAAACTTTTGACCCGAATTAACATCATTCGACAACCGAATTTATTTCTATAAAACCGACAACAACAACAACAGAGAGACAACAAACAACACACCAGGAAAATTATAATTTTTAATTACGGTTCCGTTCCATTGTTATTTTCCATCATTATTATTATTTATTTCGAAAAAAACTTTTTCGAAATGAATTTTTTTTCCGTTGGGGTCGTTTTTCCGACGACGCCATTTTTACAAACGCATAGCATGCGTACACGCATCATTCTTTCCCTTTCGCTTTTCAACGACTTTCTAATCTTCTTTTAGAAAATTTTCATTCTGGTCATGGCCGACCATGACCGCCGGAAAATTTTGTCTTTTTTTTTAAAGTTAATATTTACTTTAGATTTTCCTTTTGATTTCTAAAACGCATATACACAGCTTAAAAAATAATAATAATTAAAAACAATCGAATTAAAAGAAGTAAAAGCAGAAGAAAACGTGTCGTGATTTTAACTCAGTCGGCCATTTTAAAAAAAAAATCTGATCTTTTAGTAACGACCGTTTTTTTTTTTTTTTTTACTTCTGGCTAAAATCGAAATAATAAAAATTTTTATTTTAACAATAAAAATAAAAAAAATATGATTTTTCTCTCTCTCTCTCTCTCTTTCTCTCTTTTTACAACGTATATAAAATATTAAAAAAGAAAAGAAAAAAAAAATATATAAAATAAAATCAAATTTATATAAGTTTATATCTTGAGCATGAGAAATAAAAGTAAAAATTGTTATATATAAAAAAAAAGAAAATTGCAATAAACTAAAAAATGAAAAAATTGGCATGAAAATAAAAAAAAAAAAAAGACGAAGAAGAGGAAGTGAAAATTTACGGCGACTTTGTTGCAACGGAAAAAAAAAGAAACTATAAATTTTTTTTTTTTTTTTATCAGTTTTCCAACCTGTAAAACGTTAAAAAAAAAAAAAAAGTTTACAAAGTTGGAAAACAACGAAAACGTTACAAAAAAAAAAAAAAAAAAAGTAAAACAATTTATTGAAAATGTAAAAATAATAAATAATAAATAATAAAAAAAAAAATTTGCCGGCGGTAATTTAAAAAAAAAAAAAGGCGGGAAAACGTTTAAATTTTTTTTACGTATCAATCGACGTGGCCGTAGATGATGTATGTGTGTGTGTGTAATCTAAATCTGGTATTATGTTTCCCCGGAGAAATCGAACCTGTTGTGTTCTTTTTTTTATTGCGAAAATCTCATCGTAATTAATAATGTTTTAAATTTTCTAATGACACGACTTTAATAATCCCCGATTAAAAAAATTTTTTAACAAATCGATACAAACACATTTCGTTTCAAATTTTAACGGATGATCGTGACGTCAATAACGTGACGTCATAATCATACCAATTGATATTTAATTATCGTTCGCATTTAGTGTGTTTCTGTGTGTGTGTGTGTGTGTGTGTGTGTGTGTGTGTGTGTGTGTGTGATAACGCAAAAATTAGAGGAAGTTTTTAAAAAAAAAAAAAAAGATAGACATTTTTTCAATTTTCTTCTGCAGAAGGTGATTGGGTGAGAGAGAGAGAGAAAGAGAAAGAGCGAGAGAGAGAGAAAAGAAAAGAAAAGAAAAAAAAATCAAAGGATTTAAATCATAGAAAAATATCTTTTTGGCCCATTGCACGACGAGGTCAAAGTAACTCTATCATTTCTATTAATGACTTTTTTTTTTTTTTTTTTTTTTTTTTTTTTTTTCAAAGCAAACAAAAATAATTTTTCATATTATTTTTTTTGTTTCGATGATTTTTCTTTCTCTCTCCCCCCCCCTCTATCTATCTCTTTCGCTCAAAAAAATTTTTTTTTCTCTTTTTCTTTTTTTTTACAAAATCATTCTTTTTTTTTTTTTTGCTTCTTTCGTTAATGAAAGTCGTTTCGCAATGCCGTAATGCGTACCGCACAATTTTTTCCGAATTTCCCGAAAAGGATAAGGATAAGGGGGATAATAATAATAATAATAATAATAAACAAAACACGCAAAAAAAAAAAATTTCGCATTCTCTTCCTCGCAACTCACAATTTTTTTTTTTTTTTTTTTTTTTGCCATTTTACCGTTAAATATGCCATTCGAAATCACAAAATATCCTTGTTTCCCCCTTATTAAAAAATGCGCATGCGCAACCAAGTCTCCTACGAAACTATTCTCCATAATTTATTCGTAAAATTTATTAAAAATAATAATAATAATAACCTTATCGCTGTCACCATCGACATACAATATTTTCAAATCACGGTCCGTTGCATTTTATGCCCGTTTTCTTTTTTCTTTTTTTTTTTTTTCTACACCCGTGTACCTGCTACCTAATTAAAATAAAATTAATTAATAATAATAATAATTATTATTATTATTATTATTATTTTAAATATATAAATAAATTTAACGACTAATTATTTTCGTGAAAAAAAAAAAAAAAGATTCGACTTTCGGCCATTTTGTTATTATTAATTATTATTATCCGATTATTATTATTATTTTACTACAAACTCTCATACATTAAAAACCAATTACGTTAAAACGATTATACCATTATTATTATTATTATTTATTCATTTATTAAAAAAAAGAAAGAAAAACTTTTCAAAGTTAAAACGATTAATTATTATTAAAAAAATAAAAAATTAATTTTACTAATTTTTTTTCAAACTCGTACCCACTTTACGTTATTATTAAACGTTTAATTAAACGTAATGAGCGGTTGTTGTTGTTGTTGTTGTTGTGGTTGTTGGTACTCTTATTATCATCATTATTTTAAATATATTTATATGTCTTAGTTTGCCAGCGGTGGATGATACGTTTTAAAACGTTGTTATTATTATTATTACGTTATTTTATGCCTTGCGAAGCATTACGAAAAAAAAAATTGAAATGAAATTAAATAAAGTCATTAATGTATAATACGCCCAAACGCGAATAGTATTAATAATGATAATAATAAAACAACAGCAAGAGCAACAGCAACGAAAGGCTTTGCCATGATTTAAAAATTTCCCATCAGATTTTTCCCGCAATATTTTTCTAACCGATTTGTTGTTGTTGTTGTTTATTTATCGATTGATATTTTTTCACGTGGAAAGGATACTCACTCACGTGTCAATTTCAAAATCAAAAATGTTTTCCCCTCCCTCTCCCCCCTTCCCCCTCCATTTCACATCCCTTCAAATCTACGATTTTCTTATTAAGAAAAAAAAAAACGTTTAAAATTTTTTATTTTTTTTTTCTTTTTCCATTTTTCTTTTGAAACTCGATAAAGCTGCCATTTTTTAAATTGAGAGAAAGAGAAAGAGAGAGAGAAAGAGAGAGAGAGAGATAGAGAGAGAAAATTGTTGATCCGATGAAATTGAAAAGCGTGAACAAAAACCAATAAAAAGGATTACTCGATACATAAAAAAAAAAAAAAAGGAAAATTTTTATATATGTATTTTCAGGCTAACGGTGTGTATTTTTACGCATTTCACGCATTTTACGCGTTTTTTTTTGTACGCACGCCTAAAAATTTTACTTTAATAATAAATAAATAATTATTTCATTAAAAAGAAATTTTTTTTAATGCATTTTAGGCGATTTATACAAAAAAAAAAAAAAAAACAACCGATCGAACAAAACGTCGAGGTCGAATAAATGAGAAAAAAATTAAAAAACGATTAACTCCGCCTTCGTTCGCTAACAACCAACCTTAACAACAACAAACGTACAATCAATTTCATTATTACTTTATTAAAAATAACTTTAAGGAATTTTATATTAAGCGAGCGAAAAAAAAAAACGAATTAAATATATACGTGTGTGTGTGTGTGCGCATACGATATGAATAAATATACGAGATTTTTTTGAAAAATTTCCCACGGGACTCTTTTACGAAAAAAAAAAGAGAGCACCCTGGGGGGACAAAAAAAACTTCGATTTTGGAACAAACTCATTTTTATAAACCTACAAAGTTCAAAAAAAAAAAAAAAATTGCACACGGTTTAACGATTCGTAGTGACAAATACACACACACAGAGCGAAACTTTTCCGATTCGCACCGTTTGCAAAAATTTATTTCCCCCCCCCTTTTTTTTTTTTGCTAAAAACCTAAAACTCCCTTTCGTTAAAACGATAATGATAACCGTCACAATAATAATAATAATAATTCGAAAAAAAAATCTCTTATACAATTACGACGATTGTTGAATAGATTTCACGCTCAGGTTTGGATAATCGAAACGTTTTCCCCGATAAAACGTGGATTTTTTTTTGGAAAATCATCCCGGAAAGCTACTATGTATTAATAATAATAATAATAATAAATCCCCCCTTATCTGACACTTTCGATTTTGTTCCAGAATAAAAAATTTTTTTTGTATTAATACACGTCAAAAAAAAAAAAAACGTGTAAATAATAAAATATTCGAGGAAAAGGAGGTTCCGGCGGCGTTTGATTCGATTCGATATAAAAAAAAAACTTTCCAATGTTTCTACTACGTCATCATCATATATTATGCATTTACGTGCATGTTCACATATACTTATATTCATATTTACATAAATATATGTATATATTAAAACTCCCGCAAGGTAAAAATTTTGCATTCGTTTAATATTTTATCGTTGCTGTTGTTGTTGTTGTTGCTGCTGCTGCTGTTTTTTTCTTTCTTACTCTCGTTTTTGCATTTATTCATAATATGAATTTAACAACAAACTCGGGTCAGGTTTTAAGTAAAAGTTTTTTAACATTATAAATGCAACAACGTGTGTGTGTGTGTGTGCAAAATTTTACCTACTTTTTCCCGCAGCGTTTTACTTATTTATTTTAATATAAAGTAAATATTCGTTTCGTGCATGCACGTGCGTGTGTGTGTGTGTGTGTGTGTGTATATGCCACTTATTGCAAACTTATACCATTCGCGATTCCTTATCAAAAAAAAAAAAAAAAACTATGAACGAATTCTTTGTTTTTCTCTTGCATACGAAACCACATTTTTTTTTATCAACCCTTCGAGTCTCCCCGCGAAACGATAATAATGATAATAAGTATAATAAAATTCCGATTCGTACCTTTTGCGCGAAAAGATTTTTTTGGTTTTCGATTTTGTGACTTCGATCCAACAAGGGGTTATTGCACTCTATTTTTTCAAAAAAAAATTTAATTCAATCAAATCGTACGTAACTATCAATGATGACAACCATAATAAAATATTACTTATTTATTTACCCAATTTTTATAACGATTAATAAACAAGCAAACAAACAAACAAACAACAAAAACGATTATTAAATTCATCGGCATGCTTTGTTTCGGTTGAACGCCCGCTACGGATAGGTAACCTTATAGACCCTATGGTTGTACATTTTGGCAAAACAATAATTATTGGAGAATCGATAACCATTTTTCTTTTTTTTTTTTTTTAACTTTATTCGACCAATACGCGATACCAAACCGTAGAAAGAAAATTTTGCAAAAAAAAAGGGAGGGGGGGGCCGAACCGAGCAATAAATAAAAAAAACGATCCGATGGGAAATTCATATACAAACAGACGCTTTTATCACATTCGAATCCCCCTTTTTTTTTTTTTTTTTTTAAATAACAAAACCTTTTTAGCGAATGATTAATAAATAAAAAATCAAACGAGAAAATCATTATCATTATTATTATTCTTATTAATTTCATAACCCGGAAAATTTTCTTTTTTTTCGTTTAGTTCGTTTGCGTGTTTTCCTTTTTAAAATTTTTACATTATCGATAGGAAATTAATTACATGTAATGGATTTTTTTGTGCCTTAAAGATATTATCCAGGTATCGACAATACAATTTCCGTTAATTAGATTTAAACTAATCAATTTTTCCTAGTTGGATAACGATATAATTCACGCGACCCCCCTCCCTATCCCTACATCCCGTCTCCCCTTCCCCAACTCTCTCCCCCCATCCGTTTTTTTTTTTTTACTTTTTAATTTTTTTTTTTTTCGTACAAACATGAACGACGTTATCGTCTCGTCGTAAATTTTCCTTGTAAATAAAAAAAAAGTTTAAGGAAGGAGTAGTAAGAAAAAAAAAAAAAAGTTCTAGAAAAAAAAAGTAATAAAAAATGTAAAAAAAATAATAATAATAATAAACTCACACTTTACATGGAAATTTCGATGGTTGGCGTCCAGAAAATTGTGTGCGTCGGGAACCTGAAATAACAACAAAAATTATTTATGTACTGCAAATATAAATTTATTTCGTGTATACGATAAACTTTTTTTTTTTTTTCGCAAGTAAATCTCGTAGAAAATTTTTTGCAAAAAATAATAATAATAATAATAATAATAATAATACAGCGAGTTGTGCATGTAATTAAAATTTTTATTGGTCACGTAAAAATTTAAAATTAGATTTACTTTCGTAAATCATTTTTTTTTTACTTTTTTTTTAAACTGATTTTTGTTTCTTTACGGGTTTACCTTTGGGAAATTTCCCAGTTTCGGTTACATGCCTTTTTTCCCTCCCGTCCCACTCCCTCCCCCTTTCTCCCTTTTTTTTTATTATTTATTCCGCTTGAAAAATTTAATTAACTTAAAATACAATTTAATTTTCTAAAAAAAAAATTTTCCCATCGAAATTCCTAATAGATTTTTTTTTTTTATGAAATGTGTCAAATTTCGATTTTAAGGTACAACAGGAAGTGACGTAACGGAAAGAACAAAGAAAAAAAAAATTAAAATCCTTTTTTCCTTTCGATTTTTCGAAACGAGAACAAAAAATCCGACTGTCACACGTCGCATCTTATTTAACTTAACTATATTTTATTAATGTGTCTTCTTATCAGTTGGCAAACGGTAAGTTTAAATTATTCCAGAATTCTTCTCCATGAGAAAGTAACGAAAATAATAATAATAATAATAATAGTAGTACGACAACGTAAAATACCATTTATTCCTGAAAATTTAATTGACGTTTTTATTATTTTCAATTTTATTCTTTCGTTTATTTATTTATTTATCTAAAATTCGAGTTCTTTTATTTAAGCTGATTGTTTTGTTTGTTTGTTTGTTTGTTTGTTACCGGAAACGACAAACGAGATATTTTATAATTAAAAATACAGATAAATCGTTTTTTTTTTTTTTTCTTTTGAAAGGATTTTGAATCCCTGGATTCGACGACCACCACGACGTTTTATTCCGGTCGAAATAATTTTTCCTCCGATTTAGAATTTCGAGAAAATTTAATTAATTTTTTCGTATGCGTTCATTATAAAGGTTGAACTTTGAACTTTTGTCTAATGTCGAGTACGAATTTTTTCAACTACTAGAAAAAAAAAACCCACTTCGTTCTAACCGCAATAATTTCTCACTTAAACAAAAAAAAAAAAAAAACATTTAAATTTTTTTTTTCTTCCGTTTGCGTCATCAACTTTCCCCACCCCACCCCACCCCCTTTAACACAAAAACATGGCTGAAAATAATACACGACATTATTATTATCGTTTAAATTTTAAAAAAAAAAAACCAATTTGTTTCCGATGACATTATAATAATTAATTTTATCCGACATTTTGTTTTTTTTAAAAGTAAAATTTAATGACTGACGTCACGACAAACGTTCCGATACTTTTATTATTATTATTATTATTATTATTTTATTAAATTCAATTTTTCCTCTTGTAGTATAAAATGTTATGTATGCACAACGAATTTCGTTTATATAGAAAGTAAACTTATTAATTATTAATAAATTTAAAATAATAAAAATTAATTATTTTATTATTATTATAAAAAAAA